AGTCCACAGTGGATAAGGGGGGGGCCAGGACCTTGGCCCGTGGTGGCCAGGACCTTGGCCCATGGTGGCCAGCCTAGTGGCTGCCTAGACCTTGGCCCACAAGGACCAGGACCTTGTGCTGTGGTGGCCCATGGTGACCAGAACCTCAGCCTGTGGTGACCAGAACCTTAACCCAGGTGGCCAATGTGCTGGCCATGACCTTGCCCCATGGTTTCCAGCACGGTGACCAGAACCTTAACCCATGGTGGCCAATGTGCCAGCCACGACTTTGCCCCATGGTTTCCAGCAGGGTGACCAGAACTTTGACCCATGGTGGCCAGTGTGGTGACCATGACCTTGCCTCATGGTTTCCGGCATGGTGACCAGAACCTTGACCCAGGGTGGCCAATGTGGTGGCCACAACCTTGGCCCATAGTTTCCGGCATGGTGGACTGGAACTTGGCCCGTGGTGCCTATCGCGATGACCAACCCTTGGCCCGTGGTGGCCAGGAGCTCATAGTGGGGTGGCCAACGTCTCGTTCCGCAGCTCACGCACGGCGTCATGAACAAGGAGCTCAAGTACTGCAAGAACCCCGAGGACCTGGAGTGCAACGAGAACGTCAAGCACAAAACCAAGGAGTACATCAAGAAGTACATGCAGAAGTTCGGGGTCATCTACAAACCCAAAGAGGACACGGACTTGGAGTGACTCCGGAGCCGCGGGAGGAGCCCGCGGGGCCCTCGCGCGGTGACGCCGGCCGGATCCTTCCCGAGGGAGCGCGGCCGGGATGGGCACGGAGCCGGGGGCACCGCGCCGACACCTGTATTATATTTTAACGTATATGTGAATATATTGATAATTTTTTTTCGTTTTTTGGGTTTTTTTTGGGGTTTCCCTTCTCCGCTTTTAGCCCCGACACGTGCCGATCCCGCGGGAACACTTTGTAAGGATAGTTTGGGTTTTTTTGGGGTTTTTTTGTTCCCCTCCTTCCCCTCCCCGGCCCCGTTCCGTTTCGGTCCGCGAGGTTTGACGCTGTTATCGTGTAAATACCCCGGCCGAGGCCGCCCCGCGTTGGCGCCAGGCCTCGCCCTCTGTTGATAAGATTGATTTTACTGCTTAAATCATTTTACTTTATCCAATTTTTACGGAACTTTTTATGTAAAAAAAAAAAAAAAAAGAAAAAAAAAAAGAAAACGAAGAAAAACATAAAAAATTAAACGACAACAACAAAACAGAATGAAAAGGCGAGCGAGACCCTACGCGGCCCGCGAGGCGGATGGAGGGAGCGGGGCGGCGGATGTGGGTGTAGGGACGGGCCGTGCACACCTATATGCGCCTGCATGGGCACGTATAGGTGCACATCTGTTGCCTGCACACGTATATTTGCATGTATATATATAGGTGTGCACGTGCATACGTGCCCGGGTGCAGCCGTAGGGCCTGGGTGCCCCCCTGGGGCTGCCCCTGTGGGTGCACGTGGATAAAATAGAGGTGTATAGGGGTGCATATAGGGCTCTGCACGTGCAAAGTTCTTGCCTATACGTGCCCGCCCTGCACAAACCGCTCCGTGCACGGCCCGCCTGGCACTTTAATGCCCCGGTGCCCCCCAGCCACTTACAAAAGCCCCGAAACCAGCGTGAAAACAGCACGAGAACAGCACGAAAGCCGCTCACACCAGGGAGCTGGCGTCGGCGGGCGCCGCGAGGCGCTCGGCCGCGTCGGCCCGGCCGATG